GTGCAGGCAAAGATAGGGCAGAAAACACCAACACAACAGGAATTGCAATCATTTGACTAACGGATACTGTGTTTAATTTAACTTAATTTAATTTGTTAATTCAATGCCCATGCCGCCCATCTCACTCTTAGGAACTCTGGGCGTCTTGCCATGTTACAAATACAAGGATTCCTTAACTTACAACATTTTGTAGAGCAACCGAAGTTACAACGGCCCTGAAAAAAAAACTTAGGGCCCCCTTTTTCAGACTTACAACCATTGCAACATCCCCACGGTCACACGATCAAAATTGGCGGCCGACTCGTATTTATGACGGTCGCTGGGCTCCAGGGTCATGTCGATCCCATTATGCGACCGTCCAACAAAGCAAGTCAATGGGGAAGCCAGGTTCACTTAACAACCGGGTTACTCCCGGTAACTGAATCACTGCAGGGATTTACTTAATGCATTGCAGTAAGAAAAGATCATAAAAAGGGGCAAAACTTAACGACCATCTCCCTTAGCAACGGGAATTTTGGGGCTCAATGGCGCCTGCCATAAGTTGAGTGTCAACTCATCAAACGTTCCTCTGCCTGTTTTAGTAGTTGCCATAAAAAAATAAGGGGTGGAAGAAGGCAATCGGGAAGAGCAGTGCAGCAGTTTGGAAGCAAAAGTACATTCCAAATATTATCTTTAAAAGATTGTAAGCTCCGGGAAAATATTTAATTGGAGAATGTGACTGATGACACCCAGCCCGTGAAGGTGTTCAATGGGAGAATCCGGTTTATGACACACCCAGGGGGGAGGGAGGGGGAAACAGGGTCCCAGGGGACTGGAAATGACGTAGGCCAGAGTTGGCTTCATACAGGGCAGGGCCAGTGTGTCGCCTCTAATGAATCCTTTGAAGTTTTTTGAAGTTTGGCTCGAGAATCATGATTTCATTAGGGCACCTACTGGAATCCTGACAGCAAATCAAGTGGAAGGGCTACCCATTATCAGAGGCATCTTGGGTAAAGAATAGGAATGTCCCAGCTGATCGCCTTATAGCAACCCTAAATTCTATATCTGCACTCAATTTGTTTTTTGCTTAATACAGGTCACCTTCAAGAAGTGAGAGGAGCCAAATGTCAACTCATCAAACATTCCTATGCCTGTTTTAGTAGTTGCCATAAAAAAGGTAGGGGGGAGGAAGGAAAGCTGGAAGAGCACTGCAACCATTTGAAAGCGAAAGTCCATTCCAACTCTTCTCTTTAAAAGATTGTAACTAAAATAACAGAGTTTTTGCCCTCAGATATATTTAATTGGAGAACATGAATGAGGACACCCAGCCCATAATTGGAGAACGTGATTGATGACACCCAGCCTGTGAAGGGGCTCAATGGGAGAATCCGGTTTATGACACACTCAGCAGGGAGGGAGGGAGGAAACAGGGTCACAGGGGACCGGAAATGACATAGGCCAGAGTTGGCTTCATGCAGGGCAGGGTCACTAGGTCGCCTCTAATGAATCCTTCGAAGTTTTTTGAAGTTTGTCTCGAGAATCATGATTTCATTAGGGCACTTGCTGGAATCCTGATATCGAGGATTACTCATAAACCACAATTTTGTTCCTGCCACCCTCCTCTTCCTCTTACCCTTTCCAGCTGCTGACTTCACTCTGGCCACTTTGGGAGAGGAGACCATCGACGTTTTCTTCCGAGGCCCTTCGGGCCCCTTGCCAGCTTTCTCAGGGGGGGCAGACCCCTCCCCAGAAGAGGCCAAGGGACGGTGGCCTTTCAGGAAGGAGAATTTACTGCTGACTGCCGGACCTTCAGCTGGAGACTTGGCGGGTTTCGTGGGCCCCGACCTGGGGATTTCCTCTGTTTTCCTGTCCTTGTTGGGGTGTCCGGAGAGGTTCGGCGAGATCACCTGGCCTGACCCTTCATCCGGCTGGACCTCCGTGTCCACTGCTTGGTTCAAGTCCATTTCCTCCAATATCGCCGCCATCAGCCCCGAGTTGAAGCTGATGGGGTTCTGGAGAGCCGCCATGTAGGAGTCTCGGTAACGGCACCGTGGCTCATGGGTCTTGGAGTCCGGGCTCAGTTTCCTTCTCAGACAGGGGGTGCAGGGACCCTCCTCCAAATCTTGCTCTTTCCCACAATCCCAGGCCACACCCAGAGGGCCAGGTTTCCCATTGGGTTGAAGAAGCACCTTCTCTGCTTCTGGTGGAAGGTGATGAGGAGCCACCGATGGAGAAGACATCTCAACCTTGGGAGGTTCTTCTGAAAACTCCACCAGGTTGACATATTCGCCTTCCAGGTTCTCGCTGATGATGTCGCAGAGGCTGGGCACCACAAAGAGGGTGGACCTCTTCCAGGAGCCCCGGTCCACCTTGATGAGTCCAGGATACTTGCCTTGAGATGGTTTGGAGGCCTGGTCTCCACCGCTGGGGTGGTTTGGAGGCTCAGGGTGGACGGAGTCCTTCTCCATGGGAGGTTCTGCTTTGGGGAGCTGGACAAACTCCGGGGTCGCTATTTTATTCCATGGGACGGGGACAATGCCGTTGCCGGTGGCCACCAGGCAGGTGCGCAGGGTTGGCCGTTCCAGGTCCCGGTTGATGTCCTCCAACCAGGCTTCGGTGAAGAGCCACGAACAAGAGGCATCAGGGATGGGGATCTTCTCAACGGTGGTCAAGTCCCTGGAGAGACACTTCACCACCAGGCAGGCCGACTGCTCCCCACAAGGCTCGGCTTGGAGGTAAAAGTCTCCCGGTCGGAGCAGGAGGGGGTTCAAGGGGCTAAGATGGACGGACACCTTCTCATGGAGGCACAAGGGCCAGCCTTCGTGCAGGAAGACACAGCCAGAGTAGGGGGCCTGGGGTGGAGGGAGAGAGAAGGAAAGAAGAGAAGCCGTGGAGTGAAACCATCTAATTCTCCAAAACTTTTAACTATTTTTATATTTATAATTGGCCCTCACATCCCGGACATAAACTATTTCAACTCCTTCCCTCAAAACGATGCTATAGAGCCCTGCACACCAGAACAACTAGACACAAGGAGAGTTTTTCCCCTGAACGCCATCACTCTGCTAAACAAATAATTCCCTCATCACTGTTCAACTATTTACAAAGTCTGCACTACTATCACTATTAATCTTCTCCTCACTCCTTATCACCCATCCACTCCCACTTGTGACTGTATGACTGTAACTTTGTCATTGTATCCTTACTTTATATTGTGTTTCCTAGTATTATTTGTTTGCTTATTTGTACCCTCTGACTATCATTAAGTGTTGTACCTGATGATTCTCGACTCTTGACGAAAGTATCTTTTCTTTTATGTACACTGAAAGCATTTGCACCAAGACAAATTCCTTGTGTGTCCAATCACACTTGGCCAATAAAGAATTCAATTCTAGTCTATTCTATTCCTATTATCTATTCTCTTCTCTTCTCTTCTCTTCTCTTCTTTTCTATTCTATTCTATTCCATTCCATTCCATTCCATTCCATATTCTATTCTATATTTCTATTCTGTTCTGTTCTGTTCTATTCCATTCTATTCTATATTCTATTCTATATTCTATTCTATATTTCTATTCTGTTCTGTTCTATTCCTACTCTACTCTACTCTACTCTACTCTACACTACACTCTATTCTACTCTATTCTATCTATTCTACTTATTCCATTCCATTCCATTCCATTCTATTCTATTCTATTCTAAGAATGCACTGTGTCAGAGTTCCAGAAAAACCCAACTCCAACCAAAAACTCAGAGACAGGCATTTTCTCACAAGTTTCCATTTGGTTAGAGTTGTCCCACTGGCACATCTGGGAAAGTCCTGAGCCTGAGAGTTCCGGGTTTTCCTTCAATCATTCAAAACTTACAAACCCACCCTAGGCACCCCTCAGTCCATCACACGCCCCATCACCATCCGTTCCAACCGGAGGCATCCCCTCTACTCCTCCCAACCCAGGTGCAGGAATCACATGACCTTGACCGAAAAGAAGAATGCTAGGATGTCTAACCACATCCGCTCCGTGAAATCCCCCCTCCCGACTTCCCAAGCACAAGAATGTAGCAGCGTAGAAGCTCGTGGTGCTAATATGGCTTCCAAAGCTGACATACTGATGAAGTTACCTAGTGTGGTAGTGAGGTGTCTGTAAGCACACAACCAAGCTCAAAGACCACCAAGGACCCCATGGTTCTCCTCCTTCTCCTCCTTTCCACAAACCCTACTCCCTTCTAGCACTGATGACGTTCCCTAGTTGGGTCATGTAATGTCTGCAAGAAAATAACCAAGCTCAGAGAGACCAAGAACCCCACAGTCCTCCTCCTCCTCCTCTCTGCAAACCCCACTCCTTTCTAGCACTGATGATATTACATACTTGGGTCATGAAATGTCTTTTTTAAAAAAAACAAGTAAACTCAGAGAACACCAAAGATCTCATAGACCTCCTCCTCCACTCTACAAGCCTCACTTCCTTCTAGCACAGATGGGGAATTCTGGGAGTTGAAGTCTCCTCCCCCATCTTCAAGTTGCCAAAGACTCTCCCCTAAGACTAGAAGGCCCTGCCATGAGTCAACAAGAGCTGTGCAACTTTTTTCTTTTGCAATAGTTGTCGGCAGGTGGGAGACACACGGCCTGATTTTATTGCACAACTGCAATTCTACCATTTGCATGAAGTTACCATGCTGGGTGTGTCTTTGCTGGGGCTTGCTCCAGACACCTGTGGGCGCTGCACTGGAGCCCAACATCCCAGAGCTGACAATTACATGGAGAGGGAGAGGGAGAGGGAGAATGAGAAAAAGAAAGAATGAGAGAGAGACAGAGAGAAAGGTAGAAAAAGAGAGAGAGAAAGAGAGAAAGAATGACAGAGACAGGAAGAAAGAGAAAAAGAATGAGAGAGAGAGAGAAAAGAGAAAGAGAAAGAATGAGAGAATATGAGAGAGAGAGAGAATGAGACAGAGGGAATGAGAAAAGGAGAGAGGAAAAGAAAGAGAGAGAGAAAGAGAATGAGAGAATGACAGAGAGAGAATGAGA